ATTTATTTATTTATATCCCACTCCTCTGTCAACAATCAGGGTGGCTAACAACAGTTAAAATTCTATACAGTATGTATAAAACACAACCCGAATCCCGCCCACCCCTTAAAAAGTATTAAACTGAAAATGTATTAAAACATCATAATTAAAACAATATAAATTATGAATCTAACTTAACAAAAATTAAAAAAGCAAATACTTAATCATTTTATTTCAGCATAACCTTTTGTGCATTACAGTCTGCTTCTTCGGATGCAAGAAGTGGAACTCTACACTCTACCCTTTGATTTCACTGGTTGCACAGGCAAGCTCACCCTCAGAAGCAGTGGTGCACTGGGTGGCCTGTCCACAGAGCTCCTGCAGGTACAATAGTGGCAGCTGCAGCTCTGGGGACAGGCCATCCCCTTTTCCAGAGCTTCGCAGTGTGGGGATTATTATTAGTTTATTTATTCATATCCTGCCTTCCTCCTGGTATAGGGACTCAAGGTGGCGGCTGGCACGTGAACAGTGGGATGGCCTGATTTGTGACCGATCCAGTTGTTTGTATGCCACAAAACCCCATGCTAACCCCAGAGTTTCAGGGGAACGCTGGAGCTTTCTGTGATGGCCAACAGCAGATTGTTTTGGACTAAAAACACAAGCTTATTTTACCTTAAAGCTCTCACTGCAAGCAACTAGGCCTTAGGACACATCAAAATTTGAGAATGGGATTCGCCACTCCTGTCTTTCAAGGGGGATTTGTAGATGTAGGATACTCACCACTATGCAGTCTCTCGTGTTCCTTGAGGTGTTTCTTGAAGTTGAAGGACTTGCCACAACTGGGATCTGAACAGGTGAAGGTTTTTTGGTGAACATGCTGGTATTTCTTGTGGTACTGGGGAAGGCAAAAGAGTCCAAACTGTATAAACTACACTAAATATTGTGACTTTAGGCCTTTAGAGACTGCCAGAAATAATGCAGCTTGAGACCACTTTAACTGTCCTGGCTCAATGCTAGGGGATCATGGGAATTGTATTTTTTTCTGGGACATTGAGCCTTCTGTCAGAGAGCTCTGGTGCCACAATAAACTATAGTTTCCATGATTCCTTAGCACTGAGCCAGGACAGTTAAAGTGGCCTCAATTTGCCCTATTTCTGGCAGTCTGTAAAGGCCCTATATTCTCTGAGAGCCCATCCCTTCTAAGTATTCACTACTATACACTACCTAAAATGATTACTAGCTTTGTTAATATAAAAATAATCTTGTTTCTTCTAATTTTTTCCAAGGAAGCTAAGGATTGGAGAACAGTCAAAGGATGGAAAAAGTTTTGAGTAACAGTTGGAATTTACATTAAAACAAAAATAAAAATGGAGGATCAGCCATTATTTGTTCCTTCCTCCCAGTAGCTCTAGGGAGATTTACAGACTGTTTTTTATTTCATTATTTTAAATGTTCTGTTTCTTAACCTGTACAAGGTTAAGGGACACAAGGGAAACAATAGAGCATATATGATCCTTTCTTCCATTTTTATTTCCACAGTGACCCTGCAAGGAAGGTTATATGCAACCAGAAACTACTACAGCACCTGGCAGAGGTCATTGTGAATGTCTGAAGTCTCTTCTGTCCTAAGACTGGCTAAATGCAAGCTCCAAGGCTTCAAAACAAGCCACCTTTTTCCTCTTCCCCAGTCCCTACTTCTTGCTTTGTTCACTACATGACAATGAAAAGTTCTGCGGACATTAAAGCTGGCCCAGTATTTTGTGACAGTGGCCAAATAAAGATACAAGCATACCTCAGTTAACAAAGTAGATGTGCTCCTCAGCATTACTTTTTTTTAACAAAAAATTGAATACTGGAGGCTGAAATAACATGGAAAAATAGGGATAGGTTCCTGTTTGCAAAGACAATGAGCAGTTGACTATGTTTCCTCAAACTTTTTATCCAAAACTAACAATATGTACATGTGAAGTGAAACAAGGAGGTCAGGCAAGCCTTATATAAGTAAACAAAAATATAACCTTCTAGGGACCACTTGAAAGCTTCTTACAAAATGCAACCAGGAATGTATTTTCTTTCACTCAAAAATAACTCTTTTATGATTTCCATTTTGGCAGCCAGATTTACAAATCTACGTTTTTTAAATATGCCAGTGTGGTATAGTGGGTTGAGCATGAGACTACAACTCTGGAGATCAGGGTTCAATTCCCAGCTTGAGCATAAAAACTCAGTGGGTAACCTTGGGCAAGTCACATTCTTTCAGCCTGAGAGGATGGCAATGGTAAGTCCCCTCTGAAGAAACTTCCCAAGAAAATACTACAATAGGTTCACTTTAGTCACCATAAGCCAAAAATGACTTGGAGGGATATAGCAACAACAACAAGGGGTAGCTGATGAGGCAGGCTTATTTGCTTTTCCCTTTTTTCTCTGTTTTGCTCTTCATGTGCACTCAGTAAAGGATTCTGGAGGCAGCTGCTCTTTACCTTGCCTGTTGTAAG